GCCCAAGGACCTCATGCATCAACATGGTATCGGGGTCAATGTCCAGCACTGGAGGCCCAGCGCTCCACCGCATCTTCCTGTCCATCAGACCTGGCAGCACCTAATCTTGACCACACACATTCACCCTGCCACCCTTTCCCTGACCCCTAACTGGTCTCCCAGCCCCGGGCCTATCTACTTGGCTCCTCGCTGAAGTGAGGTGACTGTGATCTTCTTCAACTACTGGTGGCTCCCAAGGTCCTGACTCGGACTGGGCTGGGCAGGGAAGGGAGAGCTCCATTATCAGAGGACCCATCACCTCATTTCTAAACACTTATGCCTAATTTCTTCCCTACCTATTTGGACTTGACTTCCTGGTTTGGGCAGCTCAAAAGGTCCAACTGTGGGAGGAAGCAACTTTCCCAGTCACATGGACCATGGAGCTCCAGCCATTGCGAAAAACCAGCTAGCTAGGCCCTTGGCCTCAACCCTCTGTCAGGTCCTGCCCCAGACCCTCAATCCTCCCTGATCACCCCGCCCCATGAGTGTCTACACAAAAGCACCCAAAGAGAGGGCACTAGGGGGGAAAGAAGGATGCAGTCACTGCGAGGCCAATGACTTTCAGTGGACTCACCCACTTCTTACTGGCATTTGAGTTCTGGCATCCAGTGAGGGACATGAGTGACCCTGAACACACAAGGCTTCCTTACAATGTGCCAAGGCTGGATTGTAAGGAGAGTCTAAGAGGGGGCCTGTCCCCCAAGGCTGGTCTCCCCACCTCCTAAATTGCAGCCCAGTTCAGTGATGATCCTGCCTTCAAAGATGGCAGAATCTCTTAGGGTGGAGGCCAAGGTTTCTAAGACAGAAAATTGGCTCCTCCCAGCCCCTGTAGCTCAGGCTGATGGGAGCTGGTAGAGAAGGTGCTACTGGGGGCCAGGGGCCTTTGACATGTCTCTTCGCCCCTTTCTCGAACATTCTAGATGACTCAGAAAAAGAGGCAAGGGTGTGCTGAGGGTAGATTGCAGTTCTTGCCTAGTTACAGTGCAAGGAGAGCCCCCAATTATGCCAGGAATCCCCCCAAAGGCTAGAGAAGGAGAAAACAGGACATACAGGTGGAAAAACAAGGGGGCAACAGGCTCGCTAGACCAATGATGGAAGCAGAACTGGTGCGAGGCCAAAACATGCTTCTGAGCTGGGGCCAATGAAAGGCACAGGGATTTCAGTTCTTATGAGGCAGTCTCAAAGGGTCCCTGCCCACCTGAAATTAGGAGGAAAAAGTGGAGTGAGTCTGGTGGGACCCTGGGTAACCATCTTCCACCCTCTGTAGAGGCACCTACCCGTGTGCTTTCTCATCCACTCTTTATGTAACCTGCAAGAGGATCCCATCAAGGCTTTCTGGTGTGTTGATCTCAAGAGACATTAATGGAATAATTGGGCACAGCAGTTTCTCCTCCTCCCCACTGTGACTCACAGGAGACTGATGAAGCAGCACCTCATTCAACTCCGTAACCCATGACAATGACATTTGAGCACCTTGTGGGGCCTGGCCCTGTTCCTTGCCACACCTCTCAGGCATTCATTCATTCCCCAACATCTGCAGGTACCTACTGTGTGCTAGGTGCCTACTGTGCAAGCCACACAAAACCCCCTGCTTTCAAGGAACTTGCATTCTGCTACAGAGAGAAAAACAATAAACAACAGATCAGAAAAATATACAGTGTGTCAGAGGATGAGAGCACTATGGAGAGAGAAAGATCTGTAGAATGGGAGGGGAGCACTAGCTCGGGTGCATAGCATTGTTGTACTGACACAAACCCTTGAAGGAGGAGACAGAGAGCTAGGAATGCCGGGTGGGGCTGCAGGGGGAGCCTGCTGTGCTTGGGCAGCAGGGGCCAGCAGGGCTGCAGCAGAGTGGGCGAGGGGGCAGGCTGGAGGGGACTGTGGGAAGTGACTCCTAGATGCCACACGGACAATGACCTGACCTGTGTCACCCCAGCTGCTGTGCGGGCAGGCTGTAGGAGGCTACTGCAACATGCCCAGCAGGGGTGACGGTGCCTGGTGCCTGGGAGGGCTGGAAGGTGGACAGAAGTGGCCAGGTTCTGGATAGAAGGCGGAGCCATGGGATGTGCTGCTGGGCCTAATATGTGATGTAAGAAAAACAGAAGAGTCAAGGATGCCACC